AAGAAAAATTTCTAAAAACATGAAAACAACTAAGCTGGTTCAAGGAGGTATAGAAAGCCTGATTAGTACTATAACAAGAGTTTAAATTAGTGTTGAAACCTCTCACAAAGAAAGGCCCAAGCATGGAGGGTTTCATTGATGAATTTTACGAACTGTTTAAGGAATTAATAATAATTATTCATAAACTCTTCCAAAAATATAAGGGGAACATGAGCAGCTATTCTAAAAGAGAAACATGAAAAGTCAACTGTAGCCCACTAGCCTCTATGAAACTAGGTGCAAACAATCACACCACAACAAAATACTAGCAAAATATTAAAGGGATTAAACTCCATGGGTAACTAGTATTCATCCCCAAAATTCAAGGGATTCTTCACCTATGGAAATTCATTATTGTAATGCTCCATATTAATAAAAGAAATGATTATTTCACTAGTCACATCAAATGTTTTCATGTAAGCAGATATTACTTCCTGTTGTTTTCCCATTCTTGCTAAAGCCTCATAAAAAGTACGATTCATGGTACCATTGAATGGTGTGTTACTTCACACAAACTGAATGTCTCATATCCAGTCGTGATGATACTTAGCAATAAATGCTAAAAGACTGTAATTTTGTGTCAAAGACTGCTTCCTTGGCAAGTAATAAGCACAGGCACCTGAAAGATAAGTAGAATTTAGGCAGGTATTGGACGAGGAGGTGAGTCACACACAGAAAAAGCTTCACTTAAAAAGATAATCTCAAAGATGCCTGAACATGGAAGATGGCATAATATGTCTGAGAAATAAACAAAGTCCAGGCTAACTGGAGCTGAATGGAAACAAGGCAAATGACACGAGCCATCTGTTTCTCCCTGGAAAACACACTGAGACACTGCCTCCTCCCGACATATCACACATGTGGACTGTAAAAACGTCTGTTCCTAAAACATTTCTTGTGGATCATAACAGGGTGTAGCGCCTGAATCAAGCTCAGTTAAATGAGGACAGGGCTGTTAACCAGCAAGCCCAGGTGGCCTAGGGAGCACATCAGGGAGACAAGACCATGTTGTCAAAAGCAGAGGAAGTGAGATTTTCCATTGTGGCTGAGACCAGAGCATCGGAAATGTCGATGGGTACACAAAAACCACATAGGGTCGGGTTAAACCGCAGATGCAGCCTCTGCAGGTTTTAGTGTGGCCCCAGATTCTCCATGGCTAATAGCCTCCCAGTAAGTTGATTGATGCTGGTCCTTCAAGGAACACACTTCGGGTGGTTTAGTTCCTGTGCACTCTCCTCACTCAGTACAGCTGAAACTCACCTGTAAAACGCACCTTCTGAGAAGTGTAAGTGACCTAGTTCTCCTCCACTAACATGCTTCAGTCCCTTTTGCTAAAATTGAATATCTGATTCTGGGTAATTTGTGAAGAAGAAAAGGTTTATTTCGGCCATGCTTCTGACATCTGTAAAGTTTGACAGCGAGCATCTGCATCCAGGGAAGACCTTGAGCCGCTTCCACTCCTGACAGAAGGTGAAGAGGAGCCGGTGTGTGCAGAAATCAATGGGAAACAGAAGGCAGGTTCTTGCCTAAAAGTGCTGCAGGAATTTAATATCACATTTATAGAGTGTTTTACATAAACCTGAAACACCTTAGCTGCTCATGAGCTGGCAGCAATGATTGCTGATGTCATTCATGGAAATCGGACCTCAGATGGAGAAACTGCAGTGCAGAGAGTGTGAAAAGGTTAGGGACAAGAAAGACTTCAGTGACTTAAAACCCAGTTCTAGGAGCTGAGGAGAGCAACCCTGCTTTTCCCACATCTCAGACACTGCTTCAGTGTGAAGTCTGCCCCCGGGGTCTCTTCTCCTCAGTGGCACCAGCACTGGCCTATTGATCAGCAGTCCCCACCTGCCCATTCAGGCCTCTATGCTACCTACTGTGAATGGTCACAGATCACAAGCTGATTGCCAACATGGTGCAGATCATCGTGACAGTTTCGGCAGAACTGGGTGCCTCCCCACAGAACCAGGAAGTCACAAGCAAGGCCAGCTCTAGAGTAAAGCAACTGGGGGAGTAACATGCATCAGAGCACCCGGACACACAAAGGGATTTTGCTGTAGTCCTACTGGGACACATCCTGATGATGTCTCTGAGAACCAGTCCCGGTCCCTGGAACAGAAAGCCCACTAAGCAGGACAGTAGGCTGGGAGGTTGCACAGTTTGTGCCAGGTGTGAGCTGTGTTATTGTGCATGCCTGTGTATGTGTGTATATACGTGTATCTGTGCATTTGATGGTGCAAGAATGGCTTGTCAGTGTCAAGTGTCCCAAACTCAAAACTTTCCTGTTTTCCTAAATTATCTCCTTCTATCTTTACTACCTTCGTACTATCATAAGAATAAGGACAATGATTGGGGTAGAAATAGTAGGAGGAGGAATAATGTGTTTAATTACTCATTCGTGTGTGTTTCACACATATCAAGCACTCTTTAAAACAATTCATATTTACTAAATTGTTCAATATCAACCACTCCATGGCCAAATATTGTCATTATCTCTCCACTTCCAGTTGGAGAAGCTATGATATAGATTTTGAGACGTGGAAAAGCCGAGGCAAAAAAAGGAAGAGCAACTTGCCTGACGTCAGAACTACAAAGTGGCTGACCCGGGAGCAGACCCTGAGATCTTCCAGTCCCGGAGATCCTGTTCCTTAACATCACGCTGTGGCCTGTTGCTGTGCTTTAAGGGAAAGCATTGACATCTCCTTAAGACTCCAGAAAGTTCTCTATACTTTTCAAAATCAAGTAGCTCATATTTGCAGTGATCTGCAGTGCAGTAGGAATACTCCGGTCTTGAGGGTTCTACTAGAACTCTAATTTCAATAATTTTAAACTTTTTCAGTAGCTGCATTTAAAAAGTAAAAAAGAACAGGTGGAATAAACTTTCATATTATATTTTGTTTAAATGACATTATCCAAATATTATTTCAATATGTAATCAACATAAAAATATTGAGATATTTTATGTTATTTTCATACAACCTTTTTGAAATCTGGTGCGTTTTACACCCACATCACATCTTAACTTGAACTACCCACATTTCAAAAACTCAGCAGCTCCCTGGGACTCATGGCCGCTATAGTGGACAGAGCAGATCCAGATGAATGATGGTCCATTTGGATCACAGCCTCTGCGGTACATACTTAGAACCATCTTGGGGCAATGGAGAGTCCCATGACCCAGAGGGCCTCCCTAAAGAAGAATGGATGTCCCGTTTTCCAACCACAGTAGAAACACAAGCGCTCTCAGAAACGAGGGGATTTTTACAATGTGTTCCGCACTTCTTCTCTTCTCAAAGATATTGACTATAACTTCTGGTTTGAAGATAAATCTGAGCCATTAGATTTTCTACTGGTCAGTGGAATGAATGGCAATGGTCCCTGTGAATTGTGCTCCTAGGATTCCTTTCAGTGGAAAGATCCTTACCATAAAATCAACTAAAGGTAGGAAGTTATTATTTATACAGAGATCTGGATGAAAGGGGGCTGATCATGAGGAATATAGTATTGAAGCTCAGTGTGCTGCTATCTTCACAAAGGGCTATTTTTGCCTGACTCACAAGCATCGATCATTTTTATGATGGTGCATTTTCCCAGGGTGGTCTTAGCAAATTACATCCAATGCTGTATCAGGATCCACAAGCAAGTGTGTCAGAACTGACCTGCCTGAGTGGTCATCAGGGACCAATGTGGAGACTTTGAGGTGTCCAGTGACAGGAGGAATGGAAGCACTAGTTAGGAAGTGCATGGGGGAGCTGCAGTGATGTGCCCAGCCAAGTACAGGAGCAGGTATATTGGTGTCATGTGGCTTCTTCTTACCTCAGTTATCTCTTTACACCAAACTCCAAGGTGCAATGTGTGGATGCTTCTGTCTGTACCCATGGGCAACTTGGGGCTTCACACATTATTTCCACTTCTAATGGGCCAGTGTTTTGTTCACAAATTCATTTCATCATATTCTCAGCAGTTCTAGGTTGGAAAAGCAATACATGTATCTAAGATCTCAGGAAGGAAATATTCTGCCACTTGTATTCATTAAGGTTAAAATGTTTCAGTATCTAATGTGACAGTTGTCCAAATTCAATGGCCTCCACCTTGTTAGAAATGGAATTCCGATCCTAACTTGTCTGGAGAGGAGCCTGGATTGAGGAGCATGACCAGACATCTGGATGTCCCTGATGTCACTGCTAACACATGCTCCTTTGTCACTTGCCATAAAGGGAGCAGACAGAGCATCTACACCTTTGTCCAAAGAACTCGAAGGACATTGCATCTGATTAAAAAATGTAGGGCCGTGATAGGTGGGTCCAGGGTCCTGGAGGATGGAGGAGAAGAAGATGGGGCATAGGGTAGGAGGCGGGGCAGGGAGGAGCTGGAAGGTCAGGCTCTGAGGATGGATGAAATCCTGACTCCAATCGCTACTCTCTGGGAAAATTTGATAAATCTTGTAACCTCCTGATGTTGATTCTCCCATGAATAAACTGAAGGAGAGGCTGTGTCTTAAATGTATGCTTGCTGTGGGACTACTGTGAATGTGTGGTTGAGGTGGTGCCTGTAGTACACTCTCCAAAGGGCCTGTCACATATTCAAAGGAGTCATCCTGCTTTATCTAGTGATACATGAGGACGACATTCCTCTTGTGTGCACTAGAGGGCACTGTGTGCCTTGTTTTGAGGACCCTAATGACTTCCCTGGTAGGGCTCAAGTGCAAAGGGCATGACTGATGGCGTCCTTTGAGGCCCCTTCTATCCGGTAAAATTCATGCTTCACTCATGACACCCACCTGGCCCTTCTCCTGACCTTGAGAAATTGCCAACGTGAAGTCCTCATACTCAGGGCTCAGACAGTATCTCAGACAGACATGCTGGGAAGTGGAAAGCAGATTTGCATTCATAGCTCCTCCCTTCTTGAGCTTTGAGAAGAGGATAAGGCAGGAGGCCCTTGTGTCCAGGTTCCACTGGGCAGCCTCACACAGAACTGTTGGAAGTCTCTCCAACCATGGCCTGGGTCTCTTTCTGCCTCCTGCCTTTCATTTTCTCCACAGGTCAGAACACCCCAGGGAAACCAGGGAAACCCTTTCACAGCTATTTTCCCATGAGCACCACTCCTCATGAGCACTTTTTCCAGTTCTCCTGTGCATTCAGCATTGTTCATGAAATTCTATGTTTCCAGGTCTCTGTGCTCTGCCTGTGCTGACTCAGCCCCCGTCTGCATCTGCCGCACTGGGAGCCTCAGTCAAGCTCACCTGCACCCTGAGCAGTGAGCACAGCAACTACTATATTCACTGGTATCAACAGAGACCAGGGAGGTGCCCCCAGTATATAATGAGGGTTAACAGTGATGGCAGCCACAGCAAGGGGGACGGGATCCCCAATCGCTTCTCGGGTTCCAGCTCTGGGGCTGACCGCTACCTCACCATCTCCAACCTCCAGTCTGAGGACGAGGCTGAGTATCACTGTGGAGAGAGCCACACCATTGATGGCCAGGACGGGTAAGCCACAGTGACACAGACAAAGGAGAAGTGAGGCCAAAACCTCCCATCTCCTGCTTCTCCTCGTGGACTCAGAGTGAGAAGCCCCATGCCCCTCTCCAGAACCCTGAGAATGATGACTCTGCCCCTTGCAAATCTCATCATCCCACATATCCTCCCTCAAGACAACTCTAGGCAGAAGCAGATGCAAGCCATGATCGAGGAAAACTCATCATTCTGTTTCTTCCACACCAGAGTGTGGGGAGAGGCCAGAACAGCCCAGGCAGGAAAAGGACCCTGAGAGAGGGGCCAGGCTGGAATGACCACGTTCACTGAGTGCCATTTACCCTGTGTCCCATTGTGGGACTCTGACTGTGGAGGAACGTGAATCTTGACGTCTCCATAACGTATGAGAACTGTAGTGCGAATCCTCATTAGCACTTGATGTTATTGTCAGTTTCTATTTAAAGTCATTCTAATAGATCTGTAGTGATTCTCATCATGTTTTTAACTTGTATTTTCTTAGCGGCATCATGCTGAGCAACTTTCCAGGGGCTTATGATCTTTGTATCTTCCTTAGTGAAATGTTTAATCAAATTTTGCCCACTTTAAAATTCAGTTTTCCTCAGGGTCCCCTTTGTGTAATAGCTTTCAAAATTGCTGGGCAAATAAAAGTTTTTCTGACATTTAAAAACTTACAGAACTGGTCACCATCAGACTGTTGCTATTAGAATGGTAAAGGATATCTCCAGACAGAAGAAAGTGATCATGTTGAAATGTGAATTTACACAAATCAGTAAAAAGATCAGCTCAGGCCCAGTGGCTCACACCTGTAATTTCAGCACTTTGGGAGACTGAGCTAGGAGGCTCACTTGAGGTCAGAAGTTTGAGCTGTGATTGCACTGCTGCACCCCAGCCTGGGTGATGTATTAAGACTCTGACTCTATAAAAAAAATAAAAATTAAAAAAACACATCAGATATGGTAACTACATGGATACTTATGGAAAACAGCTCTTCAAAAATAAATTAATAAAATACATTGTGATTTATAATGAAAATAAGAGTAAATTATATGACGAAGGGATCACAAAAGCAGAGGTGGGTGAAGAATATGTCATCAAGGTCATATACTATATAGGAATGTATAACACTTGCAGGTAGATTTTCATAAGTTGTATATATAATACAAAACACTAAAAAAGCCATTAAAACAAAACTCTTTGAACAAAAAAGAATTTTAACTAATAAGCTATATTAGAACTCTCCATAGAAACAAAATCAAAAGGATATGTGTGTGTATAATGTTCATATGTATTTATGCTTATGCATGTATGTCTATATGGAGAGAGAAACTTATATTAAGAAATTGGCTCAGCTGGGCGCGGTGGCTCACGCCTATAATCCCAGCAGTTTGGGAGGCCGAGGCGGGTGGATCACAAGGTCAAGAGATCGAGACCATCCTGGTCAACATGGTGAAACCCCGTCTCTACTAAAAATACAAAAATTAGCTGGGCATGGTGGCGTGTGCCTGTAATCCCAGCTACTCGGGAGGCTGAGGCAGCAGAATTGCTTGAACCCAGGAGGCGGAGGTTGCGGTGAGCCAAGATCGCACCATTGCACTCCAGCCTGGGTAACAAGAGTGAAACTCCACCTCAAAAAGAAAAAGAAAAAGAAAAAAAAGAATGAGAGAATGGAAGCCACATGGCCTCACATGCATAGTGACAGTTCCTGCCGGAGGATGTCCATGTTCATGGTGGACATAGGTGTGTAGTTTTTCTGTCATGTGCTTGTCTGGCTTTGGTGTCAGAGTAAAGCAGGCCTCAAAGAGAAAACAGGAAAATGTTCCCTTCTCATGTATCTTCTGAAGGAGTTCACATGGGATTGATATCTTTACTTCCATAAAAATTTGATAGTGTTTGCCAGTGAAGCCACTTGGAACTGGGTGAGCTTTTTTAGCGGGAGGATTTAACTGTTACTCAGAATCTTTATGTGTCATAGATCTATTCAGATTTCCTACTAAGGAGTGAGTTTTGAGAACTTCTGTCTGTCCAGGCATCTGTCCACTTCATTTGAGTCATCTATGCTTTCGGCATGGATTGCTTATACTATTGCCTGTAACCATACTTTGATAAGGTTGGTAGTGATGCCACTCTGTCTGTCATATTTTTGGTAATTTTGGTCTGTCCAGGACAGACCACAGGCCAGAGAAGTTTGGGGCAGTGGCCACATGGCCAAACCCTGGGATGGTGACTGTGACCAGAGGCCTTGGAAGTTGATGATTATTTTCTGACCGGAGAAGCAGATGGAGTAAGCTGGGGACCCACCCCTTCCTCCTTCGTTCCTGTGCTGCCCCACAGCTGCTTTGAGTGACATCCCTCAATAAGGAGTCCCAGAGGATGTACATTTGCATAAGCACCAAACACTCACTGCCCCAAAGGCCCTGAGAGAGGATATAGCAGACCTGGGGAGCGCAGCTGTGCTGTGGGCTCAGGAGCCAGAGCTCCAGGTATCTCACCAGGGCCTAGAGCCCTCTTCTGCCCGCCTCCTCACTCTGTACATAGGTGCTGCCACCAGGCCCTGCTCTAGACTCAGCTCCAACTGAGCTGAGACTGCCCAGAACCCTGAGCTCCACCCAGGCACAGCTTCAGGGAGAGATACTCTGGGAATAGGTTCCTCATCTTCAAGCCCTCTTTCCTCCCCTCTTTTGCAGGTTCCATGGCCTCCTATGAGCTGACACAGTGGTCATCGCTGTCAGTGTCCTTGAGTCAGATGGCCAGGATCGCCAGTTGTGGAAATATAGTGGGGAAAATTATGCTCATTGGTACCAGCTAAAGCCAGGCTAGATCATTGTGCTGGTGATACATACAGATCACTCGCAGCCCTCGGGGTCTCTTAGTGATTACTGGGGTCTAGTTCAGATCCAAAAACACAGCCACCCTGACCATCAATGGGGCCCAGGCTGAAGATGAGGCTATTACTGTCAACTGAGTGACAGCAGCAGTACTCAATCCACATTGACCCAGGCAGATGGGGAAGTGAGACAGACACAAACCCCTTCCCAAACTCTGTCTTCCTTTTCTTCCAGCCCCAGGAAGACTGAACAAAGCCATGAACAGGCCTAGCCCATGTCACCTGGATCTGGCCCCAGGCTGTCCTTCCCTCCAGCCCTCCATTCAGGAAGTCAGGAGTGAACTGGGGTCTGGCAGAACACCTAAGACCTCTAGTCCAGCCGAGCAGAAGGTCAAGGGAGATGTAAATTTTTGTTAGCGGGTCACTAAGAACATTAATGGATGGAGGAGCCACTGCAACTCACTCCCTGATTCCTGGACCATGAGTTGTGGCTGTGGGAGGAACAGCACCACATATTAGCCACTGAATGGCAAAATATACCCCTCCTGCAAGATATAGCCCCAATGCTACATGTCCTTGCCACCTCACTGGTGTAGTAAATGAGTCTTCTAATAGCCATTAAACCATTCATTTAAGCTGCATGCCTCAGAATGTTGGGGATGGTGGCAAAGCACTTGAATTCTGTGAGACAGGCCCATGGCTGCCTTTAATTTGCTATGAAATCGGTTCCTTTGTCAGAGCCCCCTGTGGGATACCATCACAGTGGCTGAGGCATTGTGTAGTTCAGGGATAATAGTTTTGGCAGAAGCATTGCAGCCAAAGAAAGCAAATCCCTCTTTAGAGTAAATGTCAATTCTGCTACCAAAAAAAGAGCTACTCCTGCCATAATGGAAGAACTCTAATGAAATTAATCCCAGCCAGATGCCTGGCTGCCTCCCGCAGAGCAGTGTAACCTACAGGGATCTCCGTGCTGGTCTCTGCTGTTGGCAGATGGTCACTCAGCAGTGGCTACAGCCAGGTCAGCTCTAGTGAGTGGAAATCCACATTGATGAGCCAATGGACAGCCTCCACCCCTGCCACAATGGGTGCTTTGTCATTGAGCCCACTGGGCAATGGCAGCAGTGGCTGGGGGAGGCTGCCTGGTGTCCACAGAACAAGACGTCCTACCCACCTGATTAGCAAAATCACTTCCTTCTCAGGTCAGACTTTGGTGAATGCTTACATAGAAGAGAAATATCTGTACCCCTCTGCCCACTGGGGGAGGTCTATGCTCCTTTCTTTTCCATATGTATTTGTGATGAATATTCTGATTGTTTCTCTCAAGTCCCTGACCATCCAGCCAAACTATGAGCCACAGGACGTGAATCAGGAACCTCTGCCCATCTCTCTTTCCAGGTGGGATGAGTTAGGTACACTGCTAACAATTCTGTCTCAAATAGAATGTTCCTCCACCGCTGATGTCCAGGAACACCCAGAGGCCAGGTGGAGTACGAGCACTGTCCACGCCAGTGGTGGCTGTATGTCCTGCAGAAACCTCTGTGACCCCAGCCTGAGTGCCTCCTCCTAGGAAGCTGGTCCCAGGGTGCCCCTCAGGAGGCCAAGCCTGTGGGTGGGAGGATGGCCATGGGGTAGGGGATGGGTCGTGACTATTTGGCCACCTCTTCATAAAACTTACTTTTGCCTTGTGACCTGGTCCATCAGGTCTCAGGTTCAGTCCTGTCATGTGATGGCCCCAGTGTGAGGTTACTACTAATGGCCACCTGGAGCTGTGGGTCAGACCACACCCAGCTCATAGGCAGCTTAAGTCTCATGGTGAGCCTGGGGATGGTAAGCCCTGGGGCCATAGTCAAGCAGAGCCCCTGCCGAGGCCCAGGAGCCCTCACAGTCTTTCTCAAATGGAGCTTTCTGCTCATACAAGAAACTAAGAATGGGGAGGCTGCTTACCTGCCTCAGGTTTGGGACACCAGGATCACCTAGACCACCCCCATGATCTTGTCTGACTATTCTGATTCCTTCCTTGGCTCAGCTAGGCATTATAATAATGAAGCCACAGTGTCTTTGGCACAAAAATGCCACTACTTGGCCCCTGACAACCCTGGGATCTTCTCAACCACAGTCTTGGTACCCAATTCAGGTTTCAGAACCACTGTGAGAAATCTATTTTTATGAGAAGTGTAAGATTTTATTATTTCCATTCTGAAAATTTTATAAGACAACTATGTGAAAATATTTTTAAAGATAGTTTACCAAGAGTGGAAAATCTTTTATTAAAACATTCAGTAAATTGCTCACTGAATGGGCATGAAATTAAATCAGCAAATAAATACATTGCCCATTGTGACTGCTCACAATGTCAGCTAATAATTCATTCAAAGTTTGAAAATACATATGCCCTGTTCTTAAGCTATGGATAAGTTGTACCATATAAGAGACACAGCACTATCAGTATTTGGGGACATTATATCTCAGGGACATTGACATCTACAAAGAAATACATCCTGAAAAATTGAATGTGTGGCATAGGTATGTTTGAATCTCTTATACCTGTCAAAGAAGAATT